ACACACACACACACACACACACACACACACAGCCGCTAGGGCTAACATGCAAATCTATTAATATGACTTATCACATCAATGAAATAATAATGAAAAAGAAATACGTAGACATAAATTTTAATCAAATTTTAATTAAATTTCCCCAGTTTTAGATTAAAAACACAACGACCTACAACAAATAAAACATCTGAAGAGAGAAAACCAAATAAAAACAAGATTATTTTTAGTCAGTGCTCTACAATCATTTTTCAGTCAAATTAAACCAGTTGAGTGTCCATGTTAATCAATCCTCTCTCTGCTTTCTAGATTAATGTGGCCAATCTGCACAAAGTCAGCAGCACTTTTTTTTAAACCAAAAAAGCTTTTTCCAAAGAGAGTTTAATAATTCCACTAGTATATGGCTAAGAAAGGTTTTGTAATAACCAGTGATGATGAAACCAGTAACCAGTGACTAAGCCATTGAAGCAACTCAAATCTAGTCTTTTACAGTGGCTCTATTTATACTTATTTTACCAATGCTGTTTCCTTTACCTCTGACAGATATTCTTCACTTCTTTCATTTAATTATTAGTGTTCAATTTTATGTTTATGCAAAATTGGTTAGCCTTAAGTTTCTGCAGTGGTATAGCTTGCCACTCTAGGCATGGTACCAATGGTTCACTGCAATATTTATGCTATAAAATATGCACAATATTTTTTATTTTAATTAAATGACCCACAACAACTTTTAATGATATTTATGATAATAAACATTTTTTGAGTATACATAGACTACCAGTCAAATATATGAAGCATGTAGCAAAGAAAAAAGAAAAAAAATGATAATAAACGTGTTATATTTTAGATTTCTGGCAGTAGCCACCCTTTGCTTTGTTGACAGCACTGCAAACCCTTGGCCTTTTCTCAATGAGCTTCATGATGCAGTTATGCCTGAAATGGCTTCACTTCACAGGTGTGCCTTGACAAGGTTTCTTTGTGGAATTTCATAATAATGGGCTTGGGACCATCAGTTGTGTTGTGCAGAAGTCAGGGGTGTCAGCTATGTACCAACCTATTTGACAACTGTTACAATTCATTTTATGGCAACAACCAATCAGCTAAGTAAAGAACAGGCGCCAGTTTAGCTCACAGGGATGAGCGGTGCTGCATGGCGGAAAGCATCTGGCCCGGGTTCGAGTCCGACCCGCGGCCCTTTACCACAGGTCTTTCTCTCTCTCTCTCTCTTTTCTCTCTCTCCCTCTGCTTACGGGATTATTTTTTAAAACAAAAACGGAAAATCTCCGTTTTCAAAAATACCCGTGTACGTGTGGACGTAGCCTTAGTTTCCGTGTAAGCAGCTTGAAGCAACCCAAAGCAACAGATCCACAGCTTAGTTCTGCTACACATGACGCCACCTCATTCAAACTGAAGGATTAAAGAGCATTGAAGTCCATGTGATTTCTGCTTAAACCAGTTTAGATTGATTTAAAAAGTTGTAAACAAAAGCTTTGATCCAGTTGATGAGTCAAATCATCGACTTATAGGCTGCAGCCCAACAAAACTGTAGAGATACACCAATCAACCGCCCAGGGATTGGAATTGGCTCATATCAGTGATCAGGAGGTGACCCTCTGATTTCTCAAGGCAAATAGTCATGCATACTTACAGCCACATGCTAACATATTGTTAGCATGAAGGCTCTTTACTGTCAATGAAGTAGAAGTAAAGTAGAGTCCGTAGGGTACCAGTGTGGAAAACAACAACAACAAAAACCAGCTAAAGCTATACACATCTGAGCAGTCAAAGGGTCAAAGTAGTAAAATTATTAAAGTGAGTGAAAAAGGTAAAAGAGTCAGTATCCTGTTATCTGGTAAAATAAGCAGCAACTCATTTTCAGTTAATTATCTGATCCCCTTTCCAGTGTTAGAGCACTTTATATTTCAAAGTTGCCTCAGTGAGAGAAGATAATGTAACTTATTACACTTACTGCATGGAAAGTTCAATAATTTCTTTTATTCTGGAAATCGCATTGAAGAAAAGTTTGTATATGCTGTCAGTTCTTACAAAGAAAACTAGAATCATAAAAATGAGTATTTTCAGATTACACTAATACGAATCTGGACTTGGACAAGAAAATTACAATCAAGATATCTCTACGAAATTCTAATGAATTCAAATTCTTGAATTTAGGGCTTTTTCTCAGTACTGCCTGAGACCCGAGATGTGAGCTTATTTTTAGGTTTCAAAACGACTTATTAGCTTATGGGTGTAACTTGAAATGTATACACAGAGTACATGTTATTCCCGTGGCATTCCATGACACATCATGCAGCTTCTAGCTGCCTAAAAAGGAAAGCCATACAAATATATTTTGCATCACTTCTTTTGTATGCCTAGCTGTTTAACTGGAAATAGGGAGTGTTTACTGTGCAAGTTGAATTTTTTAAATGGAGAGGTGTTTCAGCTCCAATCAAGTCACAAAAGAGAATCTGAAAGCCAGACATTTAACCACATGGCAAAATAATTGCAGAGACTAACCTAACACTTACTCATCAGCAACCTCAGCAATCACTGAATTAGCTGAAAGGCAATGACTCTCTTTTGTGCTGTATGGCCTCATTTGACAATAAAGATCTTTGCATATTCATTTACATATGAAGTTCATCTTTGACTGTTTTATAATGTAGAAGTAAATTTGCCATTCAGGTCCTTCCAAAGAGTCCTGGAATAACAGAACTAAACTGGAGGAACTTTCTTGCTGTTAAATTCCATGTGGCAACTTTTTCAGCAACAGTACACAACGTTACCTATTCTAGCTGCCAAACTGAAGCAAACAATTCCAGACCCAGTTTGTCTAGGAGGATACGCTTGGTGAAATAGACTTCTCTTAGTACTTTTAAAAAAATGTATAAATTTGAAACTGTGTGTCTGTTCCTGTCTAGCTATCTTTGTGAGGACTGAAATCTGCATTCTACTATACTTGTGAGACCCAACAGTCACTTGTGAGGACACACTCACCGGTCCTCACAAGTTTGAAGGCCTTTTTGAGGCTCAAAATGTGGTTTTAGTGTCAGGGTTACAATTAGGTTATGGTTAGGTTTAGGGTAAGGGTTAGGCATTCATTTTTAATGGTTAGGGTTAGGGTAAGGTGCTAGGGAAACCATTATGTCAATGAAGGTCCTCACTAAGATAGCTGAACGGGCTCTGTGTGTGTGTGTGTGTGTGTGTGTGTGTGTGTGTGTGTGTGTGTGTGTGTGTTCTGATTAAATAATAAATTCCCACAGGGCCATGATGAAGAGGCAGTCTGGGCTCAAAACGTTCCATATTTCCTAATTCTGGAAATGACACCCAATTATTGTAATTCTAGGGCAACTAAGAAGAATATCTTGACTATAAGCAACACAGATCTACAATTTTCAGGTGTAGTCCCTCACATTAGATGACAGTGATGATTACTAAAACTGTACTTTTAAGGCTGGCTACTATTTTCACTGGTACAGCAGATGAACAAAAACACCCCAAAATTTTCCACTGCTGTAACTCTCTCTGTCGTGACACCAAAGGATTTGGACAGTAATACGATAAGTGATATAAAGACTGCTGTTTTGATACAGACTCAAGGTGGAAAAAACTTTGCACAACCAAGTTAACAGGTGTAAATGCAAAAACACTGACAAAAAGGAACAAAGACATTGTTACTGACAAATTTTGCACCAGTGCTACAAATGATTGTCATAAAAAATACTATGTTTATAACCATCAAATTAAATGTTTAAATGTTAATTAAAAATCAAATTCATGTAATTTATTTCAAGTTATTAAAGTTGGCTATTTTTTCTTTAATATGAAACAATAAGAGGCAGAGTTTTACACATACACACATATATAAAACCCTACTCCTCTGATAATATCCTCAGAAAACAGCCAGTGCAGTGACTCATGGACCTAAGCTTCAAAGTCAGAATATAATAAAAACTAACAGAAAATACACAAAGTTACTGCAATTTTATTTTTGCGTGGGCACACTGAACATGTTATGAATGACCCAGTAGGGGGGGGCTAAGTCAGGTTACCATGGTAACAAAGGGCACCAACACTAAGGTTTTAAAAGTTGCATCTGCTTACCCATCTCGACCTTTGCTGACAATCTTGACTTCAAAGTAGTAGATCCCACAGGCAGCAGGGATTGGGTGTGTGGCTCGCACTGATGCTGCATCTTTGTGGTTCTTTCCATGACCTGATAAAAGAGAAATACAAGGTGTACATGAAGAACATGGTAGCCTAATACAAAAGGACTTTAAAAACAACGAAACACTGGGCTTGCATTTGACTCCTGATTTTCTACCAAAGTCTCATGATATGGCATCTGCTTGCAGTAGCACTGACCTGGATTCTTAGTATTTTCATAGTTTAATTAGTCATAAATTTGCTATCTGCTCAAAAAAAAAATACACATATAAAAAGTAGAACCTGACTTTTAGAGACAAATACACTGACAAATAAACTTAACTTAGACTAGATGTTAAACTTAACATATAGTCTACTAACTTGTGGTGCAAATGACATTTTCAAATGTAGATAAATAACTAGGTAGAAGTGTACAAAAGGCCACCCCCAAACACCAGGTATCCATGGACATTGCCCATGGACTAAATTGCCTTTAAAAAGACACTGGTTTACATCTACATTTGGTTGAAACACGGCCTGTTAAAAGTTGACCAACTTATGTTTATTTTTGTGACCAAATCTGTAGATTGTCTGAGGCACTGTGGAAGTAGAGCGCCCTTTATAATTTTTAAACCTTTTAAAGGATTTAGATGTAAAAGGATGTCTTTTTGTAAATGTCTTTTGAACGGCCTCAGAAGCTGACTGTTCACCTTCAACTTTTTAACCTAATCTCAGCATTCTTCAGACATCAAAGCTTTCTTCAATGTCTTTTCAACGTCTTTTTATTAAGGGTTTTTTTTTTCTGTGTGAGGAGGACTGGATAATGCATAGGCACATCTATATAAATATGACAAAAAAAATGAATGTGTATGCTCATATCTGCCTTAGTGTATACACACAGTTTTGGTTGGTAATATAAACAGAGCTTTCTGCATCTGGCCCCAGGTCTTTTGCAATAATGTGCTCTGAACAGACAAAAGATAGAGTGGTGTGGCCAGAGTAACGGCAGACATGTTTGATGAAGACCAAAGGCAGCTTTTCAGAAGAAGCTCATCTAATCTGAATATGGCAACAGAAACAGCTGTAGGTTTGATAACTAACCTAACTGGCATCAGTTTTCTTATTTATTCCCCCTACATTTCCACAAGGCTGTGTTGGGCTTGCACCACAAGGCTGAGTGATCAGTGAGGCTCAGATTGTGCTCAGATACGTGTGGATTTCTCAAATAACATTCATCTTTTTGTTAAGGTGACTTTTCTATGAATAGGTTATACAGGGCATTGATTTAACACAGTCTGGTAAAGATGTAGACAATGAGGTCACAGGGCTCATGTATTTTGTCTGGACCAATTAGATTTGAGCACAACACATATTACTGTCTGTCATTCTATATTCAGATGGCTGCTTATGCAATCCCTCGGGTCATGAGAGAGAGAGAGACTAATATGTTCAGTACTGTTGTATAACTGCAATCTAGCCTCTACAGTAAGCATGTGCATCTCTTTCTGTTACATGTAATTGCACCATTGACTGAGCTCACCTGTCACCACACATAACAAGTCACTGAGAGCTCTGTGTGTGCATGAAATGTAGACATGCTGTAACCTTAAACGAAGCAGCTGGCTGTCAGCAGACACCTTGAGGCTGTTGCTGTTTGTTGTGTGTGAGGGGGACATAAGTGTGGTCACTAAAATAAAGTTATACATACTATAGAGTAGAACAGGAAGTTAGAAATATACTGGCTTGATGTGTTTTCATTTTTTCAAAAAATACTCTGTAAAATACTCTTAGTATAGCATCACTTGTATAGGTTTACAGTAACAACACCTCTTTAACTGTGATCCTAACTCTTTTAATGATATTTGTTTTATATATTTTAATAAGGATGCAACTATGACACTATTAAAAGATCACAGTGCCATAATTGATAATAAACTAAAGCATGTTAGAGTCTGAATTACATTAACACTATATAAAATATCCACATATGCTAGCCCATTAGTGGTTTTTAGGAAACAAAAAGTGACAGGACGTTCACTAACACTCAATTTTGCATCTTTTTTGACCCACAAATCCACTATGTATGTTCTATCATGTTTACACATGTGACTGGCGTGCCTGTGCGTGTCTGTGTGTGTTTGTGTGTGTGTCAGCCAGTAGTCTAATTTTAGACCTCAGTAGGCCAGCAGGTCTCTTTGGGACTACATAAATGGGTATGTGAGATGGTTACTACCGTTAACCAAAATGTCTGGTTTATAATTCTGCATTCATGCTGATTCATGCTGATTAGGCCGTTGTGGTTTTTTATTTGTATTAGATAAGAAACTTAGAGTGTAACAGTGTTGTAAAGTTTGAATGAAAGGCCATGTGATTTAATATTAAAGCCCTGGCAGTATTAGACATTTCTGCTCTTGTGCGACTTTAAACCTCTCCACGAGAGTTCAAGGAGCAACTGTTAATGTCCTGTTCCTCTTCACCCACAGCACTGTGTGGCCTTAATTGCTTACTAGAATATCAGCAGTCTGCCTCCAGGGTGTATTTTTGACCACTAGCAGAGGCAAAGTGCAAAATCTATCTGTTCAATAATAGCAAGCACAACAAAGACCAAAGCAACACGTTGCTAAATGCCTCACAGTGTCAAAAGAAGCAGACAAGTCCATATCACTATGTCAACATCATAATAAAATTAGAGGATTTATTTATAGTGTGAGGAAGTACAAAAATTCTTATATGACTTCATGAGGGAATTAATGCCATTTATATTAGACCCTAGCTGACAACACCACCACCATATACTCAGTTATGATACTACTAAGCTACAGACCTTGGTAGGTATTGAAAAAAATGAATTCAGAGCTGCTTTGCTGTTCAGACTCTTTGATTACATCTCTTATTTAACTTACTAAAAAATAACTACAATTTTTTGGACTGGTAGAGACTAATACATTGGTTATCAAATGTGTCTAAACTAAGAAAATACTTCAGTCAAAACAAAAGTGAATATAACAGTTTGGGCATGGGGCCATACAGCACGAGGCTAAATATTAATTGTTTGTGCGCACAGATACACCTGGCACTTATGCTAAAAGGTTTGTATCTTCTGTTTTGGTCTCCCTGAGGCAGATTATGCTACACAGCAGCACTTCATCACTGTGGCCTCTAAGAAATATGATGGCCTAGTTAATAATAGATGGAAAACTGGAAATGGTGTTTTTCCAAGTCAGTGATATTAAGGATTTTTAAGTTACTTTATTTCCCATCTGATGAGAATGCTGATAAAATCTCATACAGTTAAAGTTAAATAAAATCTCTAATTAAAGATGCTATAACCTGTTTGTCTTAAGTTATATATATATACTACAAATATACTATGAGATAACAACATTGTTGCCATTCTACTGACAATACATGAATGCAGCACAAAGGTCAGGGCCACGTGACCTTTGAAAACATTAATCTCTGAACTTTAATTATGTGTCTTCTGCCTAGATAAGAGCTGAGGCAGAGGTATGTTTTCATTGCGATTTATCTACCTTTCTGTCAGCGGGATTATGCAGGTCAAAGTTAACAAAACTTGGTGGAGAAGCTGAGCATGAGCAGAGAAGGAAACTAACTAAATTTTAGCCTGTATCTAGATCACGTCCTTCCTAGTGTGCTGCAGGAATGAGTCTTAAAAATTCATAAATGAGACAGGATTTATCATTTCTGGTTCCATTTTCTGGATCTGATTTTTGTTTAGATGCTGCAAATATGATAACGAGATGCTCTAAATATTTTCACATTTTTTCTTAAAACACAGAAGTAAACTGAAGGTATTACATGAACATGTGTTAGCACATAAATGGCTAAATAAGGCTAGAGACTTCAGGGAAATTCAGCACCAACTGATCACGCTAAAAACACGTTCTTAGTAGTGTTTATATGAACGTCATGCAATTGATGTGTAGTTTGTTTATAGCCTAACAATTGAGTTCTGTATCTCACAATTGTATTTATGCTAAAGAAATTTTTTAAAAAGTAGCATGACTGTGGTATTCCAGGCATATAAAGCTCCAAAGTAAGGCCAGAACAGGCAGTTATGACTCCAAGTACAACCTTGATGTTCCCTAAGAACTAGGAGAGCAAGTAGCAGCCAAGTGCTGCTATTCAAATGAACTGGTTTAACTAATCGTTAAGCATGAACATCTTTATGAAAGCAGATGTTTTGGCAGTTTGCTGGTCTGGAGCATTCATTTGTGTTGTATATATTAGAAAATGATATTAGATATTAGAGAATGAACTAAAACAAGAAACAATTCTTTAAGGTATTATTGTTCTACAAGCTACTGAACCACTGGATTGAACTTACTCAGACTTTTTCAAATCACTATAATTCAAGTTTGAAAGCAACAGGTGTCTAGTTTACATATAGCTGCAACTTCTTACGTAAGCATGATGACCAAAAGTATAAATAAAAAAAAAAAAAAAACCACATATCGTGATATATATACACACTTATTTTCAGTTATATCTTATTACACATCTTCTATCCATTTTTAACCAAGTTTAGATGGTGACTAAATGACATTTCCTTTACTCACTTTACTTTTGTTACAGTTGTTAGAGAATTTACACCTTTCTTTCTTAGGCAATAAACCAAAACTAAACGATATTAGAGTTTAAATTTGTTTGTGGCACAATTTCTAGCACGCACTGACAAAGTAGATTTACTATAACTGTGTTTGGCTTCATGGCTGGAAGCAGCCGGCATTCCGAGATCTTCAATGAAATATACATCAACGAGTGCAAGGAGGCAACGAGCCAGCTATTCAACCTGCTAAACCTCCTGAGCCAGAGCCAACTCTCCAACTCTGTCATACATAGAGTTTGGGCAGCATAGCTGTCCCAATTTTCATGGTGCATTTGGAAATTTCAAAAAAATTATGATGGCACTCAATTTGGACCACTTCGGCCAATTCCAATTACCATGACTTCATCGTGATGGCAACAAGTAAAAGTTAGCATAATATAGGTTCTGAAACATGTAACATAATGATGCTTGGCAGTCTATTATGCTCATTTTATAACTAAAAAATGCTGTAAATATTTACATGTCACCTGTCATAAGAAGACAATTGAAAATTTTCAACCTCTGAGTTGAATCAGAAAATCAGCATTAGCGAAAGTTAAATCAAAATGTAAAAAACAAACCATTAGGTCTTTCTGAAAATACCAACAAATCTGTCTTTAAAAGTGTCAGTTCAAAATATGTCAAAAGTATTTAAATATCCGAGTATGCAGATAAAATACAATATAAACCAAATATATAAACCAAACAATATAAAACCTTTAGTAGAGCCTTTAGTAGACTCACTGCACAAATGTACAGTGCAATAACAAATAACCTCTGAAAATGATGGCGAAGTGTATCCTTAATGAACTCTTATCTAAGATTTCTACCTTCTATCTTCCAGTAACTTTCCTTGTGATTTTCCACTAAAATTGCACTGTGTTTTATAGACTTTGCTAGTTCAAGTTGTCCTGTAGGAGCAGCTCTTTGGGCAATTATGAGCAATTAGGTCCTTGTACAGTGGACCCAGGGCCTTTGTCTAGTAAAGTATGCAGGGTGTATGCCTCCACAAAAATCTGCACAAATCCACCTATGCAGACAACCAAACTATAAACAGTAATGTCATCTTAGGCTTTTGGGGCTCTGGATAACACCAGGGTGGTGAGGAGTGACTATGGAATAAGCTCAAGGAAGAATGCCCACATGGAAAAGATGTATATAAATCTTATAAAGTTTGTATCTGTCTTGTGTGAAACTTGTATGAAAAGCATACAAGAGTGAAAACAGATATAAGATCCCTTGAAAAATTATATAAATGAAACTTGTATGTTTTGGATACTTACATTATGAAAGTAATGAGAAAGTGGCCACTTTCATGAGTAAATCATATAAGCCTTATATGATTCACTATATGAAGTAGGCCACATCTTATGCAAGTCTTTTATAAGTTTTTTTTTTAATTTCTTTTCCATATGGGTGTAGTTGCCACACACCTGTTCGTGTACAATAGTTTGAAAAAGTTATTGCCCTCTAAACCTAATAACACTCAGCAGCAAAAACTGCAATCAAGTGTTTGCAATAATGGCCAAGGAGTCTTTTACAGCACTGTGGAGGAATTTTGACCCACTCATCTTTGCAGAATTGTTTTAATTCAGCCACATTGGAGGGTCTCCCATGATAAACCGCCTTTTTTAAGGTCATGCCACAGCATCTCAATCAGATTCAGGTCAGGACTTTGACTAGGCCACTCCAAAGCCTTCATTTTGTTTTTCTTAAGCCATTCAGAGGTGGACTTGGAGTGTTTTGGATCACTGACCTCTTCCAAAAGCCAAGTGCGCTTCAGGTTGAGGTCACACAGATGGCCAGATATTCTCTTTTGGTAGAAAACAGAATTCATGGTTCAGTTTACCACGGTAAGTCTTCCAGGTCCTGAGGCAGCAAAACAGCTCCAGACCATCACACTACCACCACCCTGTTTTACTGGTGGTATGATGTTCCTTTTCAGAAATGCTGTTACTTTTACACTAGATGCAATGGGACACACGACTTCCAAAAAGTTTAAGTTTTTTCTCATCAGTCCACAAATTTTCCTAAATGTCTTGGGGATCTTCAAAACGTTTTCTGTCTAAACTGAGACAGGCCTTTTTGTTCCTTTTGCTCAGCAGTGGTTTTCATCTTGGAACCCCGGATGCAGACCATGTTTACCCAGTCTCTTTCCTTAATATGGAGTCATGAACGCTGACCTTAACTGAGGCAAGTGAGGCCTGCAGTTCTTTGGATGTTGTTCTGGGTTCTTTTGTGACCTCTTGAATGAGTCGATCTTGCACTCTTGGAGTAATTTTGGTCGACCAGCCACTCCTGGAAGGTTCACCACTGTTTCATGTTTTCGCCATTTTTGGATAATGGCTCTCACTGTGGTACGTTGGACATCTACAGCTTTAGAAATGGGTTTTATAGCTTTTTCCAGACTGATAGATCTTAATAACTTTGTTTCTCATTTGTTCCTGAATTTCCTTGGATCGTGGCATGATGTCTGGCCTTTGAGGATATTTTGGTCTACTTCACTTTGTCAGGCAGGTCCCATTTAAGTGATTTCTTGATTGAAAATGGGTGTGGCAGTAATCAGGCTTGGGTGTGGCTACAGGAACTGAACACCACAGTTCATTTATGTTATAATGGGGAGGTACGCCAGGGTCTAAGTGACGTAAATGTCATTATCATCTGATTTCAAAGAAGTATAACAGCAATTACTACTCCAGCTTTTGGTGTCTGTACACAACAGAGAATGACTGAGGCCTTAGTTGTGACTATTCCGCAGCAGCATCTAGTGCAACCTGTAGGTTTCTCTATATGTGCACTTTAATTTCAACATGGCTCAAAAAAATGGGTTGCAGTTTGAAATAAATGAAACCTTAATAAAAATCATGCTCCTATTTAGATAAATGCTTTCCTTTTGCTCAACTAAATTTTGAAAAGTATGTGAATTTGAAATCCCGTACTATTCCTTTAGTTCCATGTCAGTCCTGTTATGGTTATTCACAGTATATATTAAAGTGCTTCTCTCACAGGTCAAAGAAATGATTAGTTGACTTTTTTGAAACTATTTGCTTGCGAAAAATTTTGCTCAGTTAAAATTTTGCTTGGTACACTGACATTGTGATTACTGTAAGTCATAAAACATAAATCTACAGCAAAACAATTAGTATTCCAACAAAATCCTTAGTCAACAGCTTGATCTGTCATCAGGGTGCAGCTGAATTTATTATATGTGTAAAAGTGCAAAGAATATGCTATAGGGTGTGTTACAGAACATTAGATTTATTCCTACTATGTATTCCTACTATGCAACTGTAACCCTCTCTTTATTTCTAAGTTAATGAAAAATAAAATTATCTTTGCATCTGCAGAAGTGTAAAAATTAACACCATTTGCTGCATTTATTGGTACAAAGTCATTAAGTTTGTTTAAGTATCTATCTTGCTGCTGAGGCTGCGAGGATTAATCTCTGTCAGTGCGCAGCAGGACTAGGTAGACACTGCATGGCCTTGAATAGAGAAAATTGGCACGCTGGTCAAAATAGCATCCAAACCACAAGGGTGAGGGAACAGAGCAGGAACAACCAGGAACAGAAAAAAAATATCTCACACACTCCAGAACAAACCTATTTATATGTCATGCCTTAACAATAGTGCAGTGTCACTGAATCTGTGCACCTTTCATAGACATAATGACTCAATGTCCAACATAACCTCAACAAGAACCCCCCCTCCCCCCTGACTCATCCTCAGCAATACACCACTTTGAGCCAGTGCCAGAGCTGTTAGGTAATTCTAGACTAGAATACAATGATCTTAACAGCACTGATTATAGCAAAAGGTAAATCAACATTCTCAACATAACAGATAAACTGAATGGAAGCTCATATTCAACTGCTCATCAGCAGGGACCTGATCAATTATGTATTAAATGATCTGCGGTTGTATCTGGCTTTAGGCCCGAGTCTACAAATAAGAGGCCCTCCCTGCTATTTACAAACTGTAGGACCACCACTCCATAAACCTCACAAAATGGATTACACAACCTTAATTTTGAATTACACATCTTGCCTGTATCCTCTCACCTTCTACATGGGCCCAAAGTAGCCTATCAATTGGGATTTTTCACAGTGTGTGATTAAAGTCTTGTAGTGTTTTCCTGTTTTGGGGTGTGTGTGTGTGTGTGTGTGTGTGTGTGTGTGTGTGTGTGTGTGTGTGTGTGTGTGTGTGTGTGTAGGGGGGGAGGTTTGTCTGAACAGCACAGAAGCCGTCACACGGATGTCACCTTGTTTTGATATAGGTGGTTGCTAAATTGAGACGGCTAAAAGCCCTGCTGTCAGCTTTTATCCATCTGAATGAAAGACTGACTGAACCGTCTGGTTGCTGTTAACGTTAAAATGCCAGACCCCGTCGATACTCCGGATTTATTACCAGAACGGTGCATTTTGGCCTAATGTAATGCGCAGAGGCCTCCTCTCTCACGGCAGCACCTCTGTTGCCTGCTAGAAACTGGACCTGAAACTGTTGTTAGGCTCGGGGCACGCAGATCTGAATGGAGGTGGACGGAAAAATGATTGGAAAAGACTTCTAGAACACTGCTCTGAAATCACATGAGAAACACAAAACAATGCCATTTTAACCTGTTTGCTGTAGCACTGTACAGCGTTAATATTTCAACTAACACTACACTGTAAAACAACAAGTTCTGTTGGTGTCCACCTCGGAACCTACTGTCCTCAATTCAATATTAGGAACAGCTAAGTTGGCTAACGTTAGCTGGTTAGCCACAAGGCTAAGTAATGTGTTTGGTTAACAGCTTTCTGTTAGCAAGCTCCCGTAAGTTAGACAGGGGTTTGCCAATAAACTATGCGTCGCTACTGCTGCCAGTGTCCCCTTCCAGTACAAAGCGAGGAGAACGTCAGATGCAGTGAGTTTACTCCAAAGCAGTAACGTCATAAACAGTAAATAAACAAAGAAGAGCCATGATATTGAAGATTTCAGTGTGACGGTAATGAGACCGATGGCCAGGGTTAGCGAGTTCACTGTCACCCATCTGGGCATTCCTCTGCTCATTCGTGAAACAAAGCAAGGTTACAGGACAGGAGAGGCAGCTCAGACTAGATTTACCAGGACTGCACACGCACATACTCAGTCAACATAATCGCATACTGAGTGTGTATGTGTGTGTGTGTGAGAGAGAGAGAGAGACCCCCCTTCGGCAACAACACAGATTTGAACTGCTGTTTTGACTACACACTTAGGCCCATCAGTGATGAGGCAGGTCTCTAACCTTTGTAATGGACCCGTAGGTTGTTCTGTGACAGCCCAATGTAGCTGTATTTATCCTTGGGGCTCCAGGATCGGGGTAAAGGGGTCTCTTCCTCGTTTACAGCCGGGTAAAGCCGCTTCAGCCTCTCGTTAAGCTCGTGCTCCTGGTAATTAAAAGCAGGATCTCCCAGCGGCAGGCTTCCCGCTCCGAGCTCTGTCATTTTTTTTGGCCTCCTGTTTTTGTATCTTATTGTTCGTTTCTTTCTATCCAAAGCCCAGTGTCAGTCTGCTGGAGCTGTAGGCTGAGAGTGAGAGGGACTGAGGGGAGAAAATAGCAGCGGTGTGACATCCCCGGATAAGCAGCAGAATGTACTGTAGGCTGAAATAGTGTCGTATGGGTACTGTAGTTCAGCTGCACGCTCGCTTTTATGCTAATGTCACTAGAAATGACTACAGAGTTCCACTACTGTCAGACGGGTTTAGGGCCTTCCAGTGAGATAGGGGGCTAGGAAATGTAGTTTTCATCTGTTAAACTTACATACGTTTTCAGAACGTTATATAATTTAATTTTGAACTTTAAATGGCAAAACTTGTATTTATTTGTAAGTTAAATGGTATTTTTACAGTATTAATAGCAGTATTATTTCCTCGGCGAAATATGTGCCTGTTCATAAAAACACTGTGTTGTTTACTAAGTTTTATTATATTGTAATTAATATAGCAGATATGTGAAATAGACTTTATAAAACACGTTACCATATATTAGTTATTGTATATCAAAGTTAATGATTGAGTTGAGCAGATAAAATCATTGCCATTTTGAAAATTAGTTAGGCGCGCACCGGGCAACTACGTGGGGTCTTGTTGCGTAGTCAGTCGTCGTTACCATGGAAACCCTGCTACAAATGTTGTGCTGTGCGACGCTAAAGCCGATCTCATTGAGTTAAACAGACGAAATACAACAGTTTCAAACGGGCTAAGTGTTTGTTATTGTCTACCCTTTATATCAAAGCTATAAATGTCACCAAACAAAGATATAAAATTTCCACCTTTAACACCGTCACAAAAAACAAGGCAAGTGATGAAATGACTTCCATTTACACCAAAAGTCATGCTACGTTTGTTTTTATGTATAAACACATTTGTATTTCAAAGCTTATTTAAAGTACGTTTAAGGCAGACTGACTTTGTTGTTTGCATATTAGACTTACATATAAATACGATCTACAAAGTTACACAGCCCAGACATCAGAGGAAGGACATGAAGAGGAAAATGCTGGTGGTGTATCTGTCCAACCATGTGCAACGAGAAAGGTAAGTAAATCAGGCAACATTACACAAACAGCAATCTGACTTTGTCCTGCCAACATCTAAAGTCTTTTAATTGGTATAAAGATCATCTAAGAACTTCATGGCATCTTTATAAACTTTATCTTTCAGTGTCACAGAAAAGTTCCTTTCACAGTACTGTGTGTGCTTTTGTGTGACCAATCATACAGTGCTGGACAGGAGGCAGTTACTTTTATGCAGGGCCAGACAGAAAGCCACAACTTCTGATGCAGATGGAGAACTATGTGAGCAAGGAGCTCCATACTATCGACCCACATGAGCCGAAATTTCAGGAGCTGAAACTTCAGGTGAAATGTTTTTGTTGATTGTATTTATGTTTAGAAGATATACACGTATTTTCTTGCTGCAGTCTAAGTACTTACAATCTTACTCTACTTTGCCTACAGGTCTACCGCAATGCATTTGAATGTTTCATCACTGCCTTCAAAACTTACCAACCCCTTCTGTCTGCCATTAAAAAGGAATATGAAAACACCTTTGGTCAGTAACTCTATGAGAAAGCTAGTCTGATTTGTATAGATTAGATAAAAATGCTATTTAAAAAAACAATTTATAACAGATTTGACAAGGTTTTGAAGCAGATTAGAAATGGCATCCCACAACGTTTTTGGAAAAATATATTACCTTTGGGTGTAGAATTAAATAAATTAAAGTTTTATATTTACAATACATAAATATCAATATTCTCTCACATCTAAGTGGTAAATGTCTTACATCAAACTAAATTTATTGGTTCAAATGCACATGCAAAGATACATAATACACAGCAACCAGCAAGGTTTCATCCAGCCTTGCAAAGTAAGGCAATGTATTTCTTTGTAAAAAAAAAATATTATTCTGAATTAATTTCTCAAAACTTTGTGACTTTAATATTCAGTAACTATATTAATAATTTTGAGTCTTCTGCAGGTACTATTTTGTCTCTTTGCCATTCATTTTTGAGTGTTTTGTTCTAAATCATCCTATACATAGTCATACAGTTTTCTTTGTTGTTGTAAGGATTCAACTCAGCATTTGTGAGAGCAAATCTGGGTTAAAAAGTTAATAAAATTAGTGGAAAGGATTCCACTAGATTCCAATAGTTTTCTAAAAGGTCCTAGCAGTTTGTGTAGGCAGTAAAATGATAAGTTCTATTGTAGCATAGAAAGAGTTGGTCACAACATGTTATTCTAACCTAGTTAAAACTAATTGTCTATTCAGTAAAAAGATGAAGTTTGTAGAGGTTAGCTTTTCTTTGTATAAAGACTTTATATCAGGGAGTTGATTACTTGTTGTAATGCATGCATTGTATACATCTTTTCAGTTCATCAGGGAGAACAAATCAAAAAGCTGGAACCACTGCAGTCCCATCTGAGGCTGGTGACAGAGGAATGTGACAGAAAGATTCAAGCTCGCTGGGCAGAGGAGCAGGCTGAGATTGCTGCCTTGAAAATGGAGAAGCAGAAGCTAAAGGAGGAGATTGAAGCCATGAGAAAGAGAGAGAAGACAGTGCAGGCAGTGGTAAATGGCATACTTTTAATTTTATTTTTGTTTAATTAATCATGTGACTTTTAGTCACTTGGATGAGTGACAAAACGTTTCTCCCACTGAAAACGCTACGTCCAGATGAACAGAACCAATTTTTGGAGATTTATTTATCTGGATGACTGACAATGCATCAAGACATGTGACTTTTAAGGGCATGAAAGTTTTTATGAAAGCATAAAAGCTTAAGGGCATGAAAGCATACACACAACGCTGCGCATAAAGGAAATTTATCCATCAATTAATAGCTCATCATTATCGTATCAGTCACCCCACTGCCTGTTGTTCCTCTTAAGGTGGATCATCTGCAGTCAGAACTGTCTGACCAGTATCTGCAGTACCGGGAGGAGCGTGATGCTCGCAGGTTGCTGATTTGGCAGCTCAATGACATGACAAGAAGTAGTGTGAAGGAGCAGCGTTCTGCAGACAAAAGTACAGGTATAACAACATCTATTACATCTTTAACTAGTTAACAGTGAACTGAAAATAACTTAAGGTTAAGTTAAACTCCATAAAAAAGATTATTTTTGAGATTGAAAAAATTGCAGAAGTAGTTTGCAAATTCTGTTTGTTTGAGATTTATTTCACTAATTTCCAACTTTTTTGTATTATTATTATTGTAAATAAATAATTGATAAAAGATGGTAGCGTGTGATCAGCTTCTGATGTGGGGCATGCCAGAAAAAGTTTGAAAACCTCTTTGATGGAAAAGGCCCAACATTATCTATATTTGAAAAACCCAAGTACAGTAACCTCTAGAGCTCAGCAAAACATATGTTTTTATGTTTATAAAACATAAATGTCTATAGGGAAGTGTGTCATGGTCTTACATGTGTTTCCATTTAGATTGGAAGGATCCTGTGGAACTGCAGCTCGCTCTAAAGGTGTGTCGAGAAGACCTGAGGAAAGCCCAGGAGGAACTGAACAGGATGAACGCAGAGTACTGGGGTGTTGTGCCCCAGTGTGACTGGGACGCCCTTGAACAGAAACACCAACGGACCGAGCTACAGGTATCTCATGCTGGATACTATACGTAGACTTCATGACTTAACATCTCAACAGTCTTTGGTGACTTTGTTTTCTTTTTATTGTGAAGTTGAAGACACTCCAGGATGACTTTGATCAGTTAAAGAGTGAGTATGACACACTGCTGGAACTCCACAGAAGAGGCAGCATGCAGGCCAAGACACACGTCTCAACCTCTGTCCAGGTACTTTACGTATGTAGAACTTGAACAGATTTTCAATTCTATGAATATTCTAATAAATGTAATGTGTGTCACTATCTGTCTCTAATCTAATAAATGTCACCTGATAAAGCTGATAAAGAGCCTAAATATGAATAAATTAGGGTCCAGAAGCTCGATACTGCTATTCCAGCGATAGAGACAGCTTCACAAATGTCACCATAAACTGACAAATATGAAAGTTGGATCAATCTTCTCAGCAAAAGTAACAACCAACAATGCCACCAAAATGTTTTTCAGACTGATGAGAGTGGGTCCCAGCAGCAAAGCCACATTCAGTCCCAGCAACAAGAGGAACCAGTCATTTCTGGCGCCCCTGAGAGCAACATGTTCCCTGTCCATGAGTCTAGGTGATAAAAATAGATATACATTGAAACATATACACATATGCATGCACACACACACACACACACACACCGTGGATTAGTCAGTTTTATTTATACTGCATAAAGTCATAATTTTGCCTCAAGGGGCTTTAAAATATGTGCAGCATACACTACTGCCTAGCCTTATACCATCAGTTCAGATAAGCCTTGAAGGTTATGAGTAATTTTCTGTGTCTGGTTCTGTTTTACTTTGTCAAATGAGAGCCATGTGTATATATGTGTGTGTTCATATGTATAGGGAGGCCCAGAGGACAACATATTTTGGAGAGGAAACTGATCCACATGTGGCCTCATCTCAAGGTGAAGCAGGCAACAGTGGTGATCCCATCTCCTCTTAGAGCCTGCGTTTAGCGGCTGGGGTGTCAAGTTTGAGCCTTGATGTAATTCACAACATGTGATCAAAATTGTGAAGATGCTGAATTAAATATTAGAAATTGTGGCCGTTGGGACCACCTGTGAGTTTCCAAGCTTTACCTTCAGTTCGTTGACAATTCAGCGGAAAATGTACCATCAAATCTTAAAACCACTTTCCTAACAGTGAGTGAAATACTTGTATAGTATTCATTCTGTATTACAACAGTTCAATGATCTTATTCATCTTATTCACACAAATGTAAAACACCTCCTTTGTTCTGGGGAAAATTAAAGCCTTGTAAAATCAGCCAGAACTATTTTCATTTGTTCCCTGGAAATGGTTAAGTGATTTTTGTTTTTTGCTTTGTAAACTGTGCTAATCAAGCTAAATTTATCTTATAAAATAATTTTAATTCATATTTCTTTCTTTGATATGGTATTAAAATGGGACTTCTGTGTCGTATCCATTAGTATACTACATTCATATTCTTTTCCTCTACCAGAGTATCTTTGCATGACTGACAGTTCAAAATAATCCCTGTTTATCTTATTCTGGGCCTTGGTGAAGTCCTTCACTTCATACCTTCCTCTTTCCTTTAAGCTGACTTTCTTCTGATTGGCTGCCCCTTGAAATCAGAGCGTTTGAAAAGCAAGTGGGTGGAACTTCTGTGTTCACAGTTAGTGTGTGCTTGAGATGACCTTTTTAGGGATTATTCCACATTCACTATGAAGCCATACATATTCAGGAGAAGAACAAATGTAGGAGAAGGCATTTAGAGCAATGAATCACAGTCACGTATACTGACCTTAACACTGAAAACTCTGGCCATGTTTAAAAATGAGTATCCAACATTGTAACACAATATGTATGACAGAGAATAAGGAGCTGAATAATGTAACATTTTTTGAGCCTGCTTAAAAAAATACATTCATTTACAACATCCAAGTCACCAGCTCTGACGCTTCTTCTCCAGCACACCACAGCAAAGTACATAGTGCTCACTACAACTGGCTGATGGAAAATCCCCATGATTTTACTCTCGTTTTGCTCTCTTCATTAGGAAGTAGAGCTTGCTCATCCTCTTTTTGGATACAGCTTCTGTGTTGGTCTTCCAGTTCAACCTGTTGTTGATATGGATGCCTCTGTATTCGTACTCCTCCACCACATCAGCATCCTATCCCAGGAGAGACATGGGTCAGTTGTCCTCTTTCCTCTGAAGTTGATCACAGTCGCTCTGGTCTTATTCACATTTGGAAGCAGATGAATCCTCCCAGGCCAGTCCAGTCACCCAGTAGTGCACTGTGCTCCTCTTCCCACCCACAACTAATACAACCAACAACTGCAGAATTGTCAGAGTATTTCTGTAGATTGCATAGACCACAATTGTATTGAAAGCCTCAGGTGTACAAGGTGAGCACAAATGGAGATGACACAGTTCCCTTTGGAGCTCCTGTACTGTACCGTCCAGTCTCCCAAATTGCAGTCTGTCTATCAGGTAATCATTAATCCAGGAGATGGTGGACATGTTTGTTAATATTTCTGGTAGCTTCTGTATTCAAACTGCAGAGGGTCACGAGATGTTTTCATGTTGGACAGTACTTATCTCTCGACAATCTTCATTAAATATGATGTAATGGCAAGTGGTCAGTAGGCTTTAAATTCTTAATAGTGTTGAGGTTTTTGGTACAGGAACTAGACAGGATGTTTTCCCTAACACTGATATCATCTCCTGTTTCAAACTTTGGCTGTAAGTGTGACTCAGGATCACAGGCAGCTGGCTAGCACAGGTCCTCAGCACCTTGGGGTTGATGTAGTCAGGCAGTTTTGTGTAGCCTAATAATGGGAGAATTTAAGTATTTAAACATGTGTTACTTATAGCTTGAGAGTAGATAGCAACACATGTAGTAAACTTAATTTCTTGCAGGACCAAAACAAGGAAAGTGGTGAGGCTCAGTGACGTTGTAGTCTATGCTCTGCAGAAAGAGATAAGTTAATGTGCTGCTAATGGTAATATGTCCACCCCAGATAAGCACCTTTCTCTGCCAGTTTTATATTTCAAATGCTGATAGCATGTTTGAAAATTTCTTTGACTGTTAAAAAAATGCTTTGCAACCTAAGGCTCAATAAAAGATTCCCTAATGCCCTGATATTAACTGGGTTATTATATAATCTCAAGGATTTATTCTAAGAAAGTTCACAACCCATATAAGCTGCACTTCATTTGTAAAAATAAGTCGATAGATAGATAGATAGATAGATAGATAGATAGATAGATAGATAGATAGATAGATAGATATTAACTAGAATAGTAGGAGAATACATTTATTTATTTCTGTGTCAGTGGTATTCATCAAGTGTGCATTTAAATGCCTTTTGATTGACTGTACAAAGGAATCCAAGAACTGGCAACTGACAGTAACCCTTTATATTGAATAAAACTCAAACAAATTAGTATATTTTATTTAATTATCTAAACCTATTTTGTGCAATGTAGGTCTGATGAAACCACCCGCTTGGCTGAATGAAACCACCTGCGCTCTCAGACGCGAACGTTGATGTGCGGAGAGAAAATGGAAAAAAGACAAGCTCCAGGTGTTTTTGGGCATCCTGCATGACTGCTTAACAAAATATCAGAAAACTGTTAAAGCTGCAAAATCTGCTTTCCTATCCGGTGTAATTTCTACCAAGTGTCATTAGCCCCGAGTTCTTTTTAATATTTTTAATTCGGTGATTAACCCCTGTGCCACTGTTCCTATGATTTCTTTGCACATTGTGAAAACTTTTTGAATCACTTCATTAAAAAAAATCTCAACCTTACGAACACTGCATTCACAGGCAGTGTTAGACCTAGATCCACCTTGTAAATGCTCGGTTGTTTTTCAGCAGTTTTTAACTTTTTCTGCATTGAAGGAAGTACTTGATCACTTAAGACCGTCTAATTCCCCACAAGATATTCTTCCTTCTCGCCTCCTTAAAGAAACTCTTCATGTCATTGGGCCTGGTATTTTATTTTAAATACTTCATTGTCATCAGGTTGTGTACCAGCTGTTTTCAAACATGCTGTTGTGCAACTCATTATTAAGAAGAAAAATCTTGATCCAAATGTGCTTTCTAACTTCAGGCCAATTTCTAAACTGTCTTTTATGTCCAAAATTTTGGAAAAAGTTGTTTTCATGTGGCATTTGTGAAGTGTTCCAGTCTGGTTTTAAATCTCGTCACAGTACTGAGACTGCGCTTTTACGAGTTTTTAATGATCTTCTTTTAACTGTAGACTCAGGTTGCTCTGTTGTTTTAGTTCTTTTAGATTTGACTGCCGCCTTTGACACAGTTGATCACAACATTCTTTTATTGAGACTTGAACACGTAGTTGGTCTAAAAGGCACGGTTTTATCTTGTTTTAAATCATATTTATCGGAGAGGTATTTTTTGATTAAAATTGGGCAATACTCCTCTTCCTCCGCCCGTATGTGTTGTGGTTTGCCACAGGGGTCTGTTTTGGGTCCAACTCTGTTCTCCTTATACATGATGCCTTTGGGATCTATTTTTAGGAAATACAACATTCCCTTTCATTGTTATGCTCATGACATCCAAATCTACTTCCCTTTGAAACTGGATGTCTCTGTCCCACTGCAGCCTTTGCTTAACTGTTTACATGATGTTAAAGACTGGTTAACACAGAATTTTCTTACACTAAATGAAAATAAGACTGAAGTTATGGTTTTTGGAAATCATGCCCCTTTGAACAAGTTAACTGATGCCCTCAGTCTTCTTGCTTCTCATCTTTCTCACACTAAGGAATTTCAGAGTGTTTTTAGATAGCTCCTCTAAATTAGAGAAGCAAGTGTCCACAGTTGTGAAAACATGTTTTTATCGGTTACGTGAAATTGCCAAAGCTAAGCCTTATCTTCCTCCAAGAGACCTAGAAACACTTATTCATGCCTTCATCACCTCTAGACTGGACTACTGCAATTCTCTCTATTTGGGTCTTCAACACTCATCTCTTCATCGCTTGCAGTTAGTCCAAAATGCCGCTGCACGTCTTTTAACAGGTGTTAGAATGTAGGAACACATCACTCCAGTTTTAGCAAATTTACACTGGCTCTCTGTAAAATATCGTATTGATTTTAAAATTCTTGTACTTACTTTTAAAGTTTTAAATAATATGGCGCCTAGTTATTTAAATGAACTCCTCAACATGTATGACCCCCAAAGAGCACTGAGATCTTCTAGCCAGATGCTCTTAGCACAATCAAGGTCTCAATTGAAGCATAGAGATCGGGCCTTCGCAGTAGCAGCACCCAGACTCTGGAATAATCTGCCAGAGGAGATTCGTACTTCGTCTATTCAGTCTTTTAAATCGCGTCTTAAAACTCACTTTTTTACTTTGGCTTTTAATTCAAGTTCAGTATGAGTACCATCAGGCCTGTTTTATGTTTTTATTGTTAATTCACTGTCTTCTTATTTACCTGTATTTGTTTCTAATTTATTTATATTTGTTTCTCTATTGTGTTCTCTTGTTTTTAACCGATTGTGAAGCACTTTGGTCAACTCTGTTGTTTTTAAATGTGCTATACAAATAAATTTTGAATTGAATTGATGTTTTTAACAAACCAGGGTGTGTCGGTTTGTGGATCTATTTGCGGTGGCCTTTACTGCTGTTGACTGCAGAAATAAATCGTGTTTGGGTAAAAAGCCTTGCTTATGCCTTTTTTCTCAGTCTGGTGGACTCAGCAACCTAACCTAAGAGAACAATGAAGGCACAAGTTACAAATTACTAAATCTGTTTTGTGCTGCAAATTGATGTAATTTTAAAAGCAAATGTAATGTAATGTAAGTGTTCTTGCTGGACAGTCGTGACTGTAGCACATTTAATCTTTGTACATCAAATAAAATAAAACCATTTTTGACTTACCTTTTTATTGTCTGTTACTCCATGGGTTTTTATTGTTTTTTTTTTCACTTCAGAAATCATCAAAACGTGTGATTTGGACATAATAATAATAATACACAGTAGAATAATAAAAGCAACATAAAAGCAAGCAGTTTACACAATCATAAATGACATGACACACTTCTTAATATACAGATATTTATATAGTATGTATCAGAATGTGGCAGTATTATGTAAAATGCGATAGACAAGCAAATTTAGCATACTACAATCCCCATAATGCATCGGGCCTTTTACGGCTTTTTGTACGTACCCTCGTAGCGGAGCAGACATTGCACTGTGCGATCGTGCAGCCGGCCTCGGCGTAAGAGGTAAGTTTTTATTACTAGTTTTTATGGTGCCCCCTTACAAAATAG